GTATGCAAGCCAATAAATTATTATGCAATCAAGTTCTTACTGAAAATGAAAACAATCAATTGTTTATTGCTACCCAATATTTAGCATTCACTGGGTATGGTAAATATATTTGTAGTTACATATGTATGTTCTTCATTTTCATATGAATTTGAGAGACAGGAATATTAAGGAATCTTATTCAGAGTTTTTTTCTTAAACTACAAAATAGTGAAATTACTATCATTAAATATTCAAAATCCAAAATTCAATGAACTCAGTTAGATTTGCTCCCAGAGACTCATTTCAGCCATCTTGAATACTTTATTCAGGTGCTAAATGTTTTCTGCCAAAAATATTTGTCTTTTGAAAAACAAAACTGCCTCTTCTTTCTCCAGCTTTTGGAATTCTTTATAAGAAACCTTGACAACAACAACAACAACAAAAAGAAGAGAAAATAATTAACTGTAAATTAGCACAAATCTTACATCAAAATCATAATGAAAATGGGGGGGGGGGAGATTGGAGCTTGTGAGGACATTCTATCATTAGGGAAGGACAAGTTCCAATATTATTCTCCCTTAATAATTTCAATAACATGTTTTCTTACCAATATAACTTGGTATCCCAGTTGATTTAAATGTCTTATCTTCATTGCTAACCTGCCCTTTGGGTGTCGTGAGGGATTATAGAAAGCAGTTGAAGGTGGGCACAGCACTGCTATCCTGTAACCAAGAACAAGAGAAATGTCTACAATAATAACAGAATTAATTATAGCAGTCTGCAGAATCTTGTAAATATCAATATAGCAAAATAAGGATGAAAACTCCAAAGGCTCTCCACTTGGATAACTGTAATCAAAGCCTGTCCTACATGCATATGTACTTTATCTGATTTATGCAAATATGTGTTTCAGTTAAACACATTTTCATCTCTTTCTGTGGAGTACCATTCCCTTTTACACTGTGGTCATTCAAAGGCTGATACAGCCTTCAGGTTAATGCCTATAGCCCTGCTATAAACCCATTGCCTTTAGAATGACAATTTAAAAAGATAAAGAGAAATCATTCCAATGAATTATTATGTGTACACATAAAATACACCTCTATTTTCCAGAGATCATACAGCAGGTAGAGAGGGTACCTGCTGAATCCCAG